GAGGTGCGCCATGCGCAGCCCGCAGTTCCAGCTAGCACATGGTGGTGCTTCCAAGCTCTGGATACGATTGTACATGAGCGCGTCGCATCCCAGACAGAAAACCCTCGATGAGCCGCGCCGCTGCCCCTCACCCCAATCGCTCGATTCACTGCTGCCTTCAGCAGCGCAACCTCCCGCGCCATCGGCCTCTCGTCGTCGCCGCCCGCCCCTACTGTGCCCGCAATGGCAAAGCGGGAAGGATCGAATGGGCAAGACGGTTGCCGTGGCGGGAGGAAGCGGCGCTGCAAGTAGGGCAGGCGTCACCCGCGCCGGCGTCACCCGTGCCTGCCGCCGGCCGTCGTGCTGCCAATATGGCTGAATTTCAGGCTGTAACGGGGGGTTGAGGCCCCACAGCATGCGGTGCTTGTGATGGCGCTTGTGTGCGCATCAACAAGGATGGCCGTAGGCAGCACAGCGGAGCGCATTCGCTGCCGCCTCCCCTGCGCACAGGAGCCACTGCGGTGCCCTCAGTCGACCCAGGAGTGCACCTGCCGCGCGCTATCCTCGGTTATCAAGCCGTTGCATTATGAGCTGAGTATGTGTAACTGGATAGATCTGTAAATCAGCTGAAAGTACGCAGACACGGTCCGGGCTTGAAGGGAGCCTTTCTCGACACTCATTCGCCTGAAGAGAGCATGCTAATATTATTTAGGTAGCCAATTGCTGAGCAAGCAGGGCTGCCCATGAGCTGCTGCCCCTGCACGACAGCAAGTTAGTAATGTGGGTCAAGCGGGTGCAGCACACAACTCAAATGTGGAAGTGTCTGCCACACATCGAGCAAAGCTGATCGCGTGAAGATGGTGATGGTTGAAGGGGCTCACTCCTTCCAGCTGGCTAGGAGCCCCAGCCCATGACCGGCGGTCAACTGGCAAGCGTCGCAGTGTCTCTGTTTTTTTGCAGCCAATAGTGAATGTCGCCCAGCAGGACAGCGGCTGTAAACGCTAGGCAGAATGCGCCATGTCGTGCACTACCCTGCTGATACCACGCTAGCACCTCGGCTGGCTGTCACTTCACTCCGATCCTATACAACAACGAGCGTCCCCACATGCGATCAAACGCTTCTTGCGCCGCTGCCGCGCTGCAACTGTGATGCCACTCGCCAACACTATGGATGTCAGCAGGCGTGGCACAATTTATTAATTACAAACGCCACTGTCATTGTTTCCGCCGCTGCTGCCGCCAGCGCCCCCATGGGGCGCCATCAGCCGCTTTGCCGCCTGCGCCGCCTCGCACTCTGCGCGGCGGCTCATCTCGCACCAGTGGTCTCGGCAGCACCGCTGGCTGCAGTGTCGCACGCCCGTCAAGCTGCCACACCCCGCGCACTGCCGCAGTGCCGCGCCCTCCGCCTTGGTCCTACCGCAGGCCGCGCGGCCGCGCCGCTGCCGGCGCTGCCAGTCCAGGCTTGGAGACGCTGGCTCCGCTGCCAGATCAGCCGCTGCTGCAAATGGTGCCTGGGTTGGCATGGACACTCCTCCTACACCTGCTCCTGCGCCTGCGCCTGCTGCTGCTTCTGAGTGTGCTGCAGAACGTGCGCCTGCTGCCGCGCCCGCGCCTCCTGCGCCTCCTCCTTTTACGCCGCCTGCCGCTGCTCCAACAGCTGGTGCTGGTTTCTGTGCTGCTGAGCTTGCTGATGCTGCCTGGGCTTCCGCCAAGACTCGGCGGTGTCCAGTTGGATGAGGCAAATCATGGGGCTGCTGCTGCCGCAAAGCCGGATTTCCCTGCTGCTCTTCCTGCTGCTGCTGCTGCTGCTGCCGCTGCTGCTGCCTTATCTATCTATCTGCTGCTGCTGCCGCCGCCCTTGCCTTTGCTCGCCCCACGGCGCCAGCTGCCCTCCTCCGGCGCCCCCTGCCGAGCGCCCGCGGGACCCTCTGGCTGCGCCGCTCCCGCGCCTGTGCCCTCGGCTGCGATCTCCGTCAAACGTGAGTGCTTCGTACCTCTCCTCAGACTCCGACTCGCCGCGCGCGGCTGACGTGGCAAGCAGCGCCCTGGAAGCTTCTAACGCTGCCGCCGGCCCATGCGGTGCCTCCAGCATCCCCCGCAGCCGCACGCTTGCAGCGGCAACCGCGGCGCTGGTTCGGTTTGAGCTACACCAGTAGATGCAGTCGCGGCCGCCTCCTCAATCCCCAGCGCCAGCAGCGCCAGCATGCTGACTCGCCGCAGCCGCCGACGCGCAGCAGCGCGGCCCGCAGCTCGTTGCACACGGCCAGCGCGTCGCGCGGCGGCAGTGGCGCGGACAGCTGCAGGCGGGGGGCGTCCAGGTCCTGCAGCGCCGTGATGATGAGGGCGGCCAGCATCTGGTGGGCGGGGTCGTGGAGCATGTGCTGTTTGCCGCCGTTGCCACTGGGGCCCAGCAGGCCCCTCGTACACCGCCGCAGCGGGCGAACATGCGCAAACGGGCCGCATGGCCTGCTAGGGTGCCTGCAGGGGCACGAAAGGGCAGAGAGGGGGGATTGGCAGTCGGATTTGCGCTATGATTGCGCTTGAGCGGGGAACGGGGCCGGGCGCGCGAGACGGCAAGTGGGCGCTGCGCCGGCAACTTCCACCAGTAGGGATGCAACCAGCCGCACCAGATGCGCCCCTGAGGCGCCGGAGGGCGTCCGCAACCGCAGCGTCGCCGCCCGAGGGGACGAGCGCCACCGCGGCCTGGACGGGGCGCGCATACTCCGGCCCGCGCATCGCGCAGGCGCCGAGGCGGAGCTCTGCAGCAGCATGTTGCAGCTCCACGCACCCCTGCGCCGCGACCTCAAGCTCGCCGCCTGGCAATGGCCACAGGGCGGCAACCTCCGGCACCGGCCACTGCAGGCATGCGAGTGCCATACTCAGCAGCTCAGGGCACGACCACTGGCCCGGCGGCTGCCGCAGCAGGCTGGAAGGGTCCCCGCCTGCGCGCGACGAGCCACGTGCCCGTGGCAAACGCGGCGACCGTCAAGGCATACCAGCGCTGGTAGCCGCCCGCAAACGAATGCAGCCAAGGATCGCACAAAAAATACTACGCTAGGAACTGCAACCCACCTGCGTCAGCGGTGCCCCCGAGACGATAAGTCTGTCCCATGCACGCAGAAGGCGCCGTCCACGCGCGACGCAGCAGCCATCCTTGTTCAATTAGCAAACCTCCAGCTCCGTCAGCGTGACTTTGGCCTGGCCCGCGCGATCCGCAGCTTCACACTGCGGTGGCGGGGTAGCGCGGCCGCTTGCTGGAAACGATCAGTGCCACCCGACCCTTGACCAGTGCTCTCGCGAGCGGCAGCGCCGCGGCGCGCGCCGCGGACGGGCCCGCCGTGGCGCCGCAGCAGCGCCGCCGCAGCCGCTTGGAATTCCGCAAACTCCTCAGCCGACAGGTCATGGTCGAAGCCCAGGGACTCTGGCGGCCACACGGTGCCGCCGTTGTCGGTGCCGGCCGCGTCGAAGTCGAGGTTTGCAATGACAAAGGCGCGGTCGCCGGGACGCAGGGGCATGTCCTGGCGTGCGGGGGTTGCAAAACAGAGCTGGCAGGTGAGTCGGAAGTGATGCGGAGTTGACGCGTGGGTCAGTTGCCTCGTGAGGAGCAGCATCCAAAGCACACTCCCTGCCTACCTGGGTGCCGTCAGCATCAGCAGCCAAGGCACCCAGAGCTTTGCCGTCTAGACAGGCAAACTACGGAAGCTTCCGTCATCACCAACCCCCCAAATGATGCGATGGAAAGCGTGACATCACCATGCATGATCGCCCGCTCCGCAAGCCAAGCCGCAAATGACTCCACAGCCGCTCACCTGCGCTCAGGCACTCGCGCGCAGGTGGGTTCCTCACACTCACCGGGGACGGATGAGTCATCACGCAGTCAAACCGCACGCCCTGCTGCCGCACGGGCCGGTACAGCCCCAGCGCCAGCATGCTCTGGTGGTGCAGCAGGTCGTGCCAGTACGCTCCATAGCTCAGCCCATCCGTCCAAGGCGCGCCGATCTGGACCAGCACCACGGTCGGCGCGTGAAGCACCTCACGCCCACCCTGCTTCAGCCGCCCTTGACGCGCGCTCGCAGAATCCTCGGGCCACTGCCCCAACGCCGCCTGACGCCGCTGCTGCTGCTGCTGCTGCTGCTGTGGCTGCTGCGGCTGCTGCTGCTGCTGCTGCTGCTGCTGCTGCTGCTGCGGCGGCTGCTGAGGCTGCTGCTGCAGCTGCTGCTGTTGATGCTGCTGCTGCTGCTGTTGCTGCTGCTGCTGCTGCTGCTGTTGATGCTGCTGCTGCTGCTGCTGCTGCTGCTGCTGCTGCTGCTGTTGATGCTGCTGCTGTTGATGCTGCTGCTGCTGCTGCTGCTGCTGCTGCTGCTGCTGCTGCTGCAGCTGCTGCTGCCGCTGCTGCTGCTGCTGGTCCTGCTGCGCCAGGGGCGGCAGCGGCGGCGCAGGCTCATCTCGTCCTCTGCAGCCGCCCCGCAGCGCGGCCGGCGACCCGCCCGCGCCAGAGGGCGGAGATGGGGTGGCGTCGTCCGTGTCGCTGCCTCCATGCGGCAGCCGCGGCGCTGCGTCCTGCCCGCCGCCGACTCTTGTGAACAGGCTGTTTTTGTGCCATACGGCGGCTTGGCTCGTGCTGCGGGAGAGCAGGCGGGGGTCGCCGCTGTGCCACTGGTGCATGAGTTTGAGGATGATCTTGTGGGCACCATGGTTGGTGTGGGCCTGGGACGTGGGTTTGAAACGTTGCAATCCATGAGGTGCAGGTAGGGGACGCGTGGCTGGTTGCAATCAACAGGTGTTCAAGTGTTTGACTCTGACAACTGAAATTGCTTGCTAGGCAGCCTCACTGGCGACTGTGGGGCTGTCACAGCACCAGCCCCCTCGCCCCCCACAGCTGATTGTGATACATTATGATCACAGTCAGGCGCTGAGACAGACAGATGCTGAATCAAGATTGCAATTTGTGCTTGCAAGCACATACCTGTATTGCAAGGCTGTCCAGCGTGTAGGCAACAAAGGCAGAGCCGGCCATGTAGGCTGGAGATACCCCCAACTGTGTTTGTGCACGGGGTATGTGCGCGTGTGTGTGTGTGTGCAGCGGGCATGTGCGTGCGTGTGTGTAGTAGGGGGGTGTGTGTGTGTGCGTGCGTGAATGCGTGCACGTGCGTGCGCGCACACGCGCGCATGTGTGTGTGTGTGTGTGTGTGTGTGTGTGTGTGTGTGTGTGTGTGTGTGTGTGTGTGTGTGCACGCGTGCACATGCTGTGTGCCTCTATCTTCCCAGGCTGTGTGGATGCCACCCTGGCTGCAGGGCCTACTCGGCCCTGCATAGTATGCATCGCCATGCAGTTTGAGAGGGGCAGACACGCTTTGCGCAAACCTCAATTGCAAGCGAAGCACCTTTCTTATGGCAGCAATCAGGGGCGGGCGCTGACTCACGGGCTGAAGCTGCACGCCTGGAATGGGCGTCACTGGGTAGAGATAGGCCATGTCAGCAGGCAGGATCATCTCTGTCAAAAGCTGGCGGGGCCCAAGGAAGGTTGTGGGGGGTAGAGGAGGAGGTTGGGCGGAAGTTGGTGCTGTTGCCGCGTTGCTTGTCTGGTTGAACATTGCTATGGGCCAACGGTGGTGACCAGGTGTGGTTGAATTCATGGGGATATGAATTGTGCTAGGTGCCACAATGACACAAATCCACAGACATGCGAGGCCATGCAGGTGAGCATGCACATTTACAGCACAACAGCACACCTCTATGTGTGGGTTGATGGTCTTGAGGTGCTGCCACGTCTCAATTGTCTCGCCGTCTGTAAATACAAAGCAGTTGGGCAGGGGGGCGTCAAGCTTCTCCAGCAACGCAATCATCAGCTGCGTCACCAGACAAGATGGCCAGGGCAAGCAGCGCCCCCATTAGGTTGAGGCATTCAAATCCACACACAGCAGCATGCCGGGCTTGGCCTTGTTCCAGGCAGCATCAGCCACACTACATATGGTGCACCGGCGCTGGAGTGGCAGGGGTCAAACCGGTTCCAACTCAGGTCATATTGGAGCTGGTCAAGACATCTTGACCTGTGTGGTGCCAAAGAGGCACAATGGCACACCCAACAAACCAGCCCGCTAACGGGCCAGCAAAGCGCTCTGCCAAGCCCACTCACCAGACATGGCCGCGGCCTCCAGCGCTGCGTCCTCATCCAGCTCCATGTCGAATTTAGGCAGCAGGATGCCGCGCGCCGCGCGCTCCGCATTCACACGCAGCAGGTCGCTGAAGCTGTGGGAGTCGCCCTGTGGCGAGCCCGCACGCGTTGATGGGGGCTCAGCATTGCATGAGTTCGTCTGGGTCTGGCTGTAAAACTCGATCGAAGATCAGAGCCAATTGGTGCGTGGTGCTCTGTGTGGCGATGCCACATGCAATGCGACGTTAGTTGGTAACTCCCATTGAGGGTTCCACCAGCCCTTGGCCCAGCTAGGCCACTGCAAACACTCGCATCCTAATTAACCCGTGTGGAAAACCATCGCAACCCCTTACCTGGCAGAACCAGATGCCCTTGAGCCGTGCGATGTCCTCCCAACCGGTGCCAGGCTCAGGCAGGGTGGTGTCCAGAATCACGATCGGCCGCCACCGCGCCAGGCGCTTGCTGCAGTCGTCGGATGGTAGGGAGTGTTGGATGCATGGAGCATGCATGCGTAGAAGCGCAAGCGTGTGCGTGCGTGTGCACATGCAGGCATGCCCAAGGTGGTGTGTTCTAGTGTGTATCTCTTGAGCACACCAGTGCAGGGTGGAGGCCCCAACAACAGGGCACACACCTCCTCAGCGGCGCCAGCAGAGAGAAGAGGCCCTCGATTGACAGGACTGGCCCAAATATGATGATGTGGCCGATGAAGGGCACCTGGCCCTCAATTACAATGCCGCTCGCGCCCTGAGTCAGCCGTTCAGTGTTTGGTGGTGGGTGAGGGGACGATCGACAATGCGCAGGGGAGCACTTGGGCATGCCGAGTCTGAGGCGCTGCCTGAAGGGCGCAACTGATTCGCTCGCCAGATGCCTTGCAGGACCATGCATGTGCAGGGTGCAATTCACAGCCACGTACAGCCCCAGCCCTGCGATTCCAAGCCACCTGCCATATTGCAGCACATCAACGCCCAACCACGGGAGACGCTTCGACCCACCAACGCCTCATCCGGCCCTCGGCAGTGGTATCTCTGCTCCACGAACGCCTCCGCCATATCCCGCCCTTGCCGGCTGGCAGACTGCAACAGCTGCGCAGGCAGCGTGTAGCTCGCCGATGCGCGTGGCCCGGTTACCACCGGCGTCTCCAGCGCCGCACGGCTCGCCCCCGCGGGCCGCCCCTCGCTGGCACCGGCACCGCCGCCGCCGCCTCCGCCGCCATCCGCCGACGGGGGCACCTGCGCAAGGCCGCTGCCCTGGCTTGCGTCTGCGTGGCAGGGTGGTCGGTGAGGGGTGGGAGGGTTTGAAGTGTGGAGCTCCATTGGTAATCAAAGCACTGACGCAACAAAGTAGGACTAGAGGCGCTGCTGAGGCATGCTGCATGGCCTCGCGGCTGCCCCCGCTGACGGCTGCAGACTGCAATAGCGCAAGGACACCAAGCGGACTGTGGCCGGTTCCGAAGGCCGCAAGGGGCAGCCTTATTGCTCGAAACACAAGCGCCGGAGAAAACGTTTGGGGTCGGCGGCTGATGCAGCGGCGGCAGCGTGCTAGGTCTAGTGGGCTGATGCGGTGCAGCCATGGCAGTGGGCGTCAATATGTCCGCCAGGATCTCACCTGTTTGTTGCTGCTGCTGCTGCTGCTGCTGCTGCTGCTGCTGCTGCTGCTGCTGCTGCTGCTGCTGCTGCTGCTGCTGCTGCCCCTGCTGCTGGTGCTGGTGCTGCTGATGCTGCTGGTGCTGCTGGTGCTGCCGATGCTGCATGGTTGCGGGCTGCCACAACCCCGCTTCCACATCGTGCAAAGAGCCGTTGAACGCCCCGGCACCCGCCATGCCTGCCGGATGTGCCGCAGAATCCCCACTGAAGGCCACCCGCGGAGACTGCGCCGCCACTGCCGACGTGTTGCCTTTGCCCAGGGAGCCGCAGCGCAGCTCGTCGCGCCACTGATAATGCGCCCTCCACTTATCAAACGTCTCCTGGTCTGCCTCTGTGACTGCCAGGGCTTGGTGGACGTCGGCCGCAATCAGAAAGCCCACCATGTCCTTCGATATGATCTGAGGGTTGGATCGAGGTGGTGCGTGGGAATGTGGATATGGGAATGCAGGAGGTGGGTGTGCGCTCCTGACCCCCTGGGGAGTTCATGGGGCAAAACCTAGGCCAGCAGCAGTGTGTGTGTGCACACGCACACACGCACACACGCACACACGCTCAGGCAAACATCCAAGCAGATACATGTAACCACGCGCTGACATTGCACAAGTCACCTCATCTGAACCAACAACCTTTGACCCTACAAACCGTACTGTCCCTGCCATGATACCACCCGCGTACAGTGCACACCCAACCACCTGATCGAGCAGCATCACGTGGAGATTTGCCCCACCCCTGGCCGCCGCCGCGTCTGTCGCCACCAGCAGCCCGCCCTGGTCGTACGCGAATGCGGCAGCTTCCCGGAATGTGCAGCCGAGGAGGCACTTGGGGAAGATCGGGATCTCGTAAAACTCTTGGGAGGCTGGCAAATAGGGGGAAAGGTGGTGCACAATTGTTTGGGTGCTATTGCTCACGCGAGAGTGCAGATGCATGCCTGTTCACAGGTGCATGATTGCATGAACATCATGCACACATGAGGAGGGCGGATGCAAGTGCAGTTGGTGACCTTGAGTATCACGAACACGAGGGTGGTACCCTCCTCCTGCCTTCGCGCACGCCGCAACCCACCTCCAGCGACGTACTCAATCAGCCATTCAGGCGCGTCCTTTCGCTGCCCATATGCAAGCGGAAGCGGTTGATATTGTTGGGAGCGGTGGGGCAATCGCACAGCGCGGGCATGCAGGCGAGTGCATAGTGACAGCTGCTAAGTGACCACCATGACTTTTTTAAACAGCTGCTACTGAATCAATATAGGCCCACCTCAGGCAATGAGCTTTGCTCGTGGCTGACTGTGTGGCAGAGGTTGCCGAGCAGCGTAGACACCCCCGGGCACCCCAGGGCGCTGTGCGCCATCAGGGCGCCCCGCAGCTCCCCCACACATACGACCTCAATGCCCTGGCTCAGCCGCCGCCAGAACGCCGCGCCCGTCACAATCCCTAGGCTGTCCTCCACTGATTCGTCCCTCATGCCCCTGGCTGCTGTTGCCGCCGCCGGCCGCCGGTGCCTGTGGAAGCAAGCAGCCATGGCATGAACAAACGACTGCGCTGTGCCGATGCCTGGCAGGCCGGCGAGCGGCCCCGTGTCGCGCCGGCGCGACGCGTCCCTGCTGCCACCACAGCCGCAGGTGCTGGGGGCTTTTGCAGAGGGGATGCGGCGCGATGAAGCCGGAATGCTGCGCAGACAGCCGTGGCCTTCCTCCTGCTGGTGATGGTGGTGCTGCTGCGGAGGCTGCTGCTGTTGCTGCTGCTGATACTGCTCCTGCTGATGCTGCTGATGCTGCTCCTGCTGCTGCTTGTTCTGCTGCTGCTGCCGCCGCTGCTTGTGGTGCTGGGGCGAGCCACCTGTCGCCGGCGGCTCCGAGTCACGCTCCAGACACTCGTCTTGCTCTGGGCCCTGCCGCGGGGGCCCCGCGTCCCGCCACCTGTCGGCGCGCCGCGACAGCTGATGGTGCCACGCTGCTGGGTCATCAAGCTGGGAGGCAAGGAAGCCCTTTGCACCGGCCAGCCTGGGGGTTTCAAGGTGTGCGGGTTGGGTATGTGGGTTCTCAATGCGTTCGAACACGGTGTCAGGGCATGCTCGTGAGATGGGCCACCACGGATACGGGCTGCAGCTTGGGGCTGGCATGTGTCTCGCACGCATTGTTCTGGTAAGATTGGAAGCTGCAAGGCAGTTACCCAACGGCTTGTGTTTTAGTGTCTGGGTATGAGCAAGAGGAAGCATGCTGGGGAGGGGGCCTCGCGACAGCCTGAATCAGTACGGATGATGGCTCCTAGGGCCAAGCATTGCACGGGCCGCTCACTTGCTGACGGGCATGCCCCCTAGCGCTTGCATCTCCGCTTGCAGTGCCTGGCGGCTCTCAGGCAGCAGCAGCTGCACCACAATGTGGGGCAGCGTGCTTGGCGGCCGTGCCTGTGCATGTGTCCAGCCGTGCGTTTGGGGGATGAGAGCATGCCTGGGGTGTTAAATCATTGAACGAGGATTGAACGGGTCAGGAACGGGTCAGGAACAAGGGATGGGCGGGAATAATCCAGCCAAGTAAGCTGGGTCGTGGCTGTACCACCACATAGTCAAGCAAGGCAGGTCAGGGCTGCTAACACACGCCCCGCAGGAATGTTGAGGACGCAGCGCCTCTGCCGCGGGCAGGGGCGTGCAGGCGCAATTGCACGAGGGCCCACGTGCGCACCCTCCAGAGGTTGCAGCACCACAGGCGCTGGGTTCTCCTGTGGTGCAGCTCCACAGCACGCTCCTGTTGGGATGGGTCGTGCGTACGCGGGGCGAACAGCTCCCTCGCTTTGGGGGGTTGCAGGGAAGGGAACGCTCTTGTGCGTGCGTGTGTGCGTGTGCGTGCATGGGCCACAGCACGATAGAGTGTTGCTGCAGCATTGATACTTTGCTTCCTCAACCCCCTTTCTTGCCTCGTTTGAAGCATCAAGACATGGCACTTGCCAGTGCCCTCGGCAGCAGAGGTCTGTCTTGCACACTCCGCCTGCCAGATTTCACAACTTGATAGCCCAGCTTGCCGTCTTGCCACCCCCTGCCCCCCTCCCCAGGCCCACCGCGAGGTACTGCCCGACCGCCAGCAGGGCCAGCGTGTGGCGCCTGTCCTCGTAGGCGGCGTCCCGCGCGTACTTGTCGCAGACTATGAACACCGCTTCGGCATACTCCACCTGTGTGCGCTCCAGGTCCTGACAGTGTGTAGGGTTTTTGAAGGCAGGGCATGACAGTTGTGCACGGCAGGGAGGGTTCGGCATGGTGCTGGTAAATCTGGATGATGACCAAGCCTCGTGTTTGATGCATCAGCACCCCCTTGGTAATGGGCTTGAAATTGCAGGGGAGGTTGTGCCCAGGCGCTCTCCCAGTGCCTCCCGGCGGCTAGGTCAGGAAAGGAGCAGAGCCAAAGCCCTGTGCCGAGCGACACGTGACCCGTCAGATGGCATTCAATGCTCAATTTAATGCTATTGCTGTTGCGCAACTCCTTGCTGTCAACAGCGCAAGGGGCTAAACCAGCCAACACGCGAGGTGTGTGCCCAGAAACATAAATCTGCCGGCCTACGGATCACCCAAGGTTCACGCGACCGCAGGCGCGGGGCGCGCCAGCGCGCGGGCTGCAATGGCTGTGGGGCTGCAAGGGTTCGCACCAGGGGCCGGAAGGGCGTCCCCTGGAGGTACATCATCTTGGCCGCGTGCTGGTGCGTCATCAGCACCCGTCGTGTTGAAAAGCTGGGAGGGTGCGGCGACAGGAATATTGCGCGGCGGTCGTTGAAGCCTTTATCTTTGTGGTATACCTGGTAGCTTGACAAGGAAAGAGGGGTATACGGGGGAGAGCGTGAGTGTGTGTGTGTGTGTGTGTTTGCGTGTGTTGTGTATTTTTTGTGTTTTGTGTTTTGTGTGTGTGTGTGTGTGTGTGTGTGTGTGTGTGTGTGTGTGTGTGTGTGTGTGTGCGTGTGTGTGTGTGTGCGTGTGCGTGCATGTGTGTGCGTGTGTCGGCAGACAGCAAACACTCAAAATCGGCCGTCATTCAGAATGGGCATCCAGAGGGCAACATGGCATCAACACATCATTCTATGTGTATGCATGGCCACGCGACACCAGCCCCAACCCAACCAGAAACACCTCATAAGGTGGCATCATCAGCCAGGATCTTGTCACTGACATCCGGGAAATCGCCCCAAACCCACCTCGTCCATGAGCCGCACAATGGTGTCGGCATCCAGGTGCCCCAAAAACACGAGGTGCCCGGGGACGTTGCTGCCGCTGCCGCGCGAGTAGCTGAGGGGTGGAGCGGCAGGGGTGGAGGGCCGGAGGCCGCACGAGCGTCGTTTTTGGTCCGCTGCCGCATCACCTCGAAGAGGGGGCCAACTGGCCGACCCTACCCATGTGGCTGCAAAAGGCGCTTCACTTGGGGTGCTAGAGCATCCAATTTGGCGCTTGGGCATCCGGATGGGTGCTCGGGCCTGATCCGATCTGTGAGGTACAGGGAGGTGCACCTGCCCTTGGCGTGCGCCGGGCCCACCTGCCGCGCTGGTACTTTGTGGCTGCGTTGATGGCGTCGACGAGCCGCCCAGTCATGTAGGGCAACGCAGTGAAGGAGATGAGCAGTACAATTAACACCTTGAGAGAGGGGAGTGCGTCGTTTGCGGGGTTGGGTGGGCAAGACGCAGCCAGTCAACCTTGGCAGCTTTGGGCCCTGGCGACAGGTGTGCGTGATGAGCCGTTGGGGACTGGAAAACAATTATGACAGGGTGGGGGAGGAAGCTGAGGCTTCACAGGCCGACAGGGGCGATGAAAGACGGAGGACCAGCTCGCCCGCAGACCTCCAGCTCATCGGCGCCGAATGCAAAGCTGGGCAGCAATGCATTCGAACGGCCTGGTGGCGCCGGGCTCCCGTGCTCGGTGGAAGCACATAAGGCGTGGGTCGACTGCTCAGCATGGAGCTGTGACACAGGGCCAAATTTATCCGCCGGCAACCAAGTCGTGCGCACCATGGTCTGCGTAGCCCACCATGTCGGACTGATGTCGCCGTAACCCACGGCTGCGCAAGGGGGCAAGAGTTGAGTCGGAGTGAGCAGGCCTCACACGGCGTGTGGCGGGCGTGCTGCGGCGCGGGCTTGGGGCCAAGCGAACGGGGGCGACAGTACTGGAACGGGCCAGTTGCTGGCGGCCCCTTGCAAGGCAGATGCGTGCCCATCCACCTCTTGGGAATGCGCCTCCACAGCCTTGGCGATAAACACAGAGCGCAAGACATCACGGTTCGCAGGCCTCGCGTAAACCCTCAACCCCAACGCCCCGCAAATCAACAGCTTGATGCACGCCAGCCGACCCCAGCAGCAACCTCCGTCCGGTTGCAGGCAGAGGCGATTACAAGCAAGGAGCCAGACGGCTCGGTGTGGCCGACAGGCACGACGGGCCCGGCACCCACGCACTGGTGAGTGTGATGGTGGCCCAATAGAGCGCCTCATGGAAGTTTAGAGCCTTGACCTCGGTGATGTGCCTGTTTGGGCCCATTCGCTCACCCTCCAAAAACAGAGCTGGAGGGGCCCGGCGTCACGTGGCACGCAGGCAGGGTGCCAGAGTGGTGGTGGGTGGGGGGGGGGAATCACTGGTGCTTGAGGGTGTGGGTAAATAGTTTGCATTGCCATCAGCGTGAGGCACATGCAGTGCGCGGGTCCACTTGTGCTGCGGTACGCGCAACTGCCTTCAAATTTCATCCCGGCAGGCGCGCCAATACCGGGCAGACGGGTACCAAGTGATCCGCAAGATCCCGAAAGATTGGTCTCACCTGCCGCCACGACCATCATCGAGAGCATCGTGAGCCCGAGGTTGAAAGACGCCCGCGACACCGCGCTCTCCAGGCGCTTTGTCGCCTGCACGTGCCACAGCATGGGCGCGCATTTGCGTGGCGGTGCACATGTGGCAGCGCTCAAGTTGCTGCTCGTGTGGGGATTACAAGATAGGATGCTGTAGCCGTACAACCTAGCTGGCGCAAGCAAGGCGCCAGGACATGTGCGAGTCGACCCTTGAAACCCGTTACCCAGGCAGACCGATCAAACCTCAAAAGCCCAGCCTGCAAGCAGCTGCGCCGAACAACAGGCCTCGCAACCAACCACATCACGCAGCTCGCCTTTGTCATGTTGAACAGCCGCAGCACCCTCAGCACACGCAGGATGCGCAGGAACGACAGCGCCACCAGGCTGCTTGAATGGTAGGCGATCATGGCAGGCAAGATTGTGACAATATCTACCAGCGTCATCCAGCTGAAGAGGAAGCGGACCCGGGTCTCGGCCATGTAGAAGCGCAGCAGGAAGTAGAGCGCAAAGTAGCAGGAGAAAACGAGGTCGACCGTGGACAGGGCCCAACCAACGTCGCCAGGGACGCTGTGGGGCAGCGGTGCGCGGGAGTGTGGGTGCGCACGCGCGCCTGTATGAATATGTGCGCCATCATGTCGTCCGCCCAGGCTTTGCATGCTACATTCTGCTTCCGTAGGGGGGAAAGCAGCAGTGCTGGCCCAACCAAATTCTGCTCAATCTGCAGCATTTCACACTTTGCTTCACCCAGGCTGAGACAATCCTGCTCATTTGCTAGAAAGCGGCCCCCTGGCCACCCGGGCAGCATCTACCACCGCTGGTGTCACGGCTGCTCATGTCACCGCCGCTGCCGGCGTCACCTGTACGTGGTTGCGATGTACATCGCAACGCTGGTCAGGGACAGCACCGCGTCCGTGTACGCCAGGGCGGCCTCCCAGCCGCTGGCCTCCCAGCGGTACCGCATCTGCGGCCACATGGTGTCATGGTTCTTGCATGTCAAGAAATCATTTTGGCAGAGGGGCTTGCATGGCCAATGCCTAGCCACGCCGACATTGGCAATTGCAGTTGTGCCGTGCCGGCTGCATGAGAGACGTCAGCCTTGCAGCACAGACAAGCATCCTGCGGGCAGCCTGCAGGCTTTCAGGAACGGAGCTGCATGAATGCTGGATTCGGCCAACCAGGCGCAGCTGCACCCTGCTCTGCATAGCCGCGGCGCAGCTGTGCACCTGGCGCCGCAGGTGCATCAGCGCTGTCATGTTGAGGCCGGCGCTGCCGGAGAGCAGCCTTGGGAGAGGGTGGCGGCGGCCGCAGGGTCGGCGGGCTTTGCCACTGTGGAAGTCCAATCGGCAGCCTGTGCACGCTTTATGCATGCTGATATCGGCCAGAATGCCACTGCTGTGCCCCAAGGCCAACCAAGTTCAGCAGACACACCATCAATTGGAATGTCTTTGCCCTTGCGAGGGTCCATCGCAACCTGGTGCTGCGCAGCGCAGTTTTGGGCGCGTCGCCCATGACCACGCACTGCACTGTCAGCATGCAGTAAAGCTCAGACATTCCCTCATGTTTCGCATGAAATCCATTTTCTCACGTGTTACGCTCAACCTCGAATCGTCTCGCCCTCTCACGCCGTGAGGCCAACGCATTGTCGATCCCGGTCCAGCCCGCCTCCAGAGACGGTAGTTGTTCATGAGGCTTGCTGAGATCCATTGTTCATGGCTTTTCTAGTTGCTCGAACCCTATTAAATATGGTAGATGCTGCTGCACAATCAGCTGGTCAAGAAATCAAACACACAAAACTCCGGAACGCAAAAGCAACGGTCGCCGACCATCGTTTGGATGTTCCGATCTCACCATACACATATTGCAAGGTTGGAAGGGGTCCGCATGTGTCGGGGTAGCTGGCGGCTCCCAGCTCCCGGTCTGCAGCTGCCGTTTTGGGCCGCACGCTCGGACAATCGACCCAGACTAGAGACGAATTGCTTTCAAACGATCTTACGGCCTTATCAGGACGGTCCACTACGTACCGGCATTGTTGCGCATGCACAGGCGACAGCGCTGGTTTGAGGTCTGCAACCTATGTGGAGGCGCATGCATGTTCCGCGTTGGTGCCCCCCTTCACAGGTTGTACATGAGTATAAACAATTGACCTGACTGACCGGCTATTGGTGCGACGAACGCATGCCAAACCAGCGAGGTGCGCCCTCCTGCCTGACGACACCACCATCGGCCTAGGCCTGGCATCAACTGCCCACAAGGCAGAGGGCAGGGAGAGCGCAATGCGTCACTTCTCAGTGCAATTTCAGCACAGTCCTGCTCGTGCGCACAGCGCAAAGACCCCATATGGCATGAGCAGTCAAGGGGAGCGCGCTCGCCAACCGTCGTGACACACCGTGCTCGTGGCAAGCCGCGGACACCCCGCTCCCCAGGCCGCAGCACTTGTGCCATGATATAATCCTGCGCACAGCAGGGACACAACAGCGGCGGCCACGCGGGCACGCAGCATTTCTTCTCGTCACGCCGGCTCATGCATTGTCGGGAGCCGCCGCCGAGTGCAACCGGATGCAACCAGGTCCACTCCCAGATCCACCACGCGTGACAAGTATGGGACAACTGCGCTCACACTGATTTTGACGCCGGCCCCCAGAGCGGCCTCGTCTAGGTGCCCTTGGGCTTTCTTGGCAAATCCTTGCAGCAAGCCCATTCAGAGAAAAACACCCAATCCCACTCCCTGCTCCTCGGGCCCTTTCAGAGAGAAAACCTGATCCTACTCCCTGCTCTCTATATACACACAGCAGTGCAGTGCTAGGGGCTGCCACGGCAGCCTTCCTGCAGACCATCAAGTGAGGGTCACCGGAATGTTGACATCGCTGCAGTCCAGTCCCACATGCAGCAGCACCACATTTATGGCGTGGGATATACAGAGAGCCGCGCTGCAGAAGATGGCAGTGGCCCGACCACATTACAGGATCATGCGAGCGGGGCAGGGGCGTGCGGATGTATGAGAGGGGCCGCAGCGCAGACGCCCTGCTCAGGTTCTGGGGTGACCGAGCGAGCGGGTTGACGGGGCAGTGCACCAGGCAGGGGGCGATGGGACTGCACAAGGCCCAATGCGTGGCTGCAACTATACTCCAAAAAGAAGATTTGCATCAAAAGCATAGAACATTGAAAGTGCAGCATCTGTCTGGTACAGCTAGGGCCCTGCGGTGGTGGTGAAAGGAGCGCAACAGCTGCCTGGTGTTTGTGTCGTCAAATGTACTCTATGAATAATCAAACATGGTCATGCAGGGCAATGCTGGGTCATTTGGTCGCGGTACCGCCACCACTGCTGCTGCTGTTGCCCACGGGCTCGCCCCTGTTCCCCCGCTCGTGCCCGTGCTGGCCCTCGCCGGCCGCCGCCGTCGCGGTCGCGTCGGCCGGCGTTTGCCCGGGCCCCTCGGCGCCCGCCGGCGCGTGGTTGTCCGCTTCCTGCTGCTGCTCCCGCCCTGTGAGTCTCTCCGTCTTAAAGGTCCAGTCCTCCGCGTCATCGACGGATTCAAGGCTGGTCAAACTTCCGAGCGGGAAGTTGACCTGCAACGGGGGTGGGTGGATCACGCACGTGAGCGCCGACACCCAGGGCATCCTTGTCCCGTCCTTTTCGCTGTGGGTTCCATGCAACCAACCGGCCCCTCAGCCGCCGCACCCTCAATCCGCGGCCCCACAGTTGCCGCGAAGGCAAGCAAAACGCTTCGCCAAGGCGCCCGCCCGTCTGCTGATGTGATGCTGCGGGGGTCCCGTCTGAGCCCTGGACCCTCAACCCTAAGGTTCAAACCCGCCCCCAAGCCCCCCACCAGGTCTGCGAGGTGGTCGCTGTCCGCGCCGGAGTAGTCCAGCCGCTGCCGCGCCCGCCAGTCCGCGAGCGACGCCTGCTGGCGCGCGAGCGTCGCGGGGCTCGGCGGCCGCAGGGGCTTGCCGCGGTCAGTCTCCAGATCCACGTAGCGTACCCCCGGGACGATCTGCATTATGTCCTGCTCCATTCGGTCCACCTCCGCGCCCACCGCGCTGACGGTGACGGTTGCAAACTGCGGAGCGTGTGTGTGTATGTGTATGTGTTCGAGTCGTGTGTGTGCGTGTGTGTGAGTGTATATGTTTGTGTGTGTCTGTGTGCGTGCATGTGTGCATGCTTGCGCACGCGAGCGTGTGTGTGTGTGTGTGTGTGTGTGTGTGTGTGTGTGTGTGTCACATCAGTTTGCGACGCGCACGTGGGTGGGAAGGGGATAAGGGATCCCAGCACCCTTGGCTCACTGCCGTATATCCGACTGCAATCAAAGACAAGCAAGAACACCGGCCGTGTCGCCTGGAGAAGCGCATTTCCTGAAGACACGTGGCCCAAGAAAACGGCAGGGTGACGCTGCGTCGAGTAATGGTGGTGGGTAATCACCTGCATGAGCAGCGCGTCCATGACGTCGGCGTCCCGCCGCTGGGCGGCCGCTGCTAGCGCTTGGTACAGCCGCTGCCGCCCCACCCGGTCCAGGCAGCGCCGCGCCAGCTCAGCGCCGTTGAAGGCAATCTCCGCCTGGTACCTGCGCCGCGGCGGGCGCGCGCGCGCGACACCGCTGAGTTTCGGGCCGCTGAGTTTCGGGCCGTGGCGCCCCCGGCGCTGCGCCAGAGAATGCCTCCTGCAACCCCTGTCCCGCCGAGGCCTGGCGTGCTGCCGCTTGCCGTGCCGCCTGGAGGCGCATGCACCCATTATGCCAGATCCCTAGGTATCCTGTTCCCTCTGCCCCGCGTCATGACTTGCCTGTAGTTGCGAATCCCCAGCTCCTCCGTTTTAACGTTTGTGACGCTGCGCAGCACCGGCTGCCGCCGCAGGTACTCTGTTATGAGCGCCTCGCCCTCCGTTGGCATCGACTTGCCAATCAGCCACTTCCTGCAAGTTGTGTCAAGTAGCAGGTGCAGGTTGATCGCGATTGTTCAAGATGTGGACGAAGGGAGGGCGCGAGCACTGGCGTGTGAGGCCAGGCGCGGGCTGCCTGCATTACGCTTTCAATCGCTAGCGGGGCTGGGACGGGGCTGTGGCTGGGGGTCATATTGCTTGAGGAACCCACGGCAACAGGTGTTCGCTCCTCAATCCACCAATGTGCACACACACGCGCCTACCCACACACCTAGTACAAATGCCCCAAGCCTTGCCTGTGCACGCGCACATGAACACACACACGCGCGCGCACACACACACACACTCACACACATACTCACATACATACTCACATACAAAAACACACACACCTCCCCGCGAACACACACGCCTGCACCCAGAGCTGCTGCTGCTACTGGTGCCGATAATGATGTGCACACGCACACGCACTAGCCCCTGCACACCTGTTACGCTGGATGAGCGCGACCGCCACGATGGCCAGCACCGCAGACACCGCGATGGACCCGACAGAGTCCCACACCGCGTTGCCTGTCACCTGGACCAGCCCCAGGCAGCCCGCCGCAATCGCCAGGCCGGCCACCTGCGGGGCACGCAGTGGGGGCGCAGACCCACACGTGATGCAGAAGCGTTCCGCAACCCAGACAATAGGGCGTTCGGCAACGACGGCCGAGGAGCCGGCATGCCATGCGTGGCAGCGGCCTGAGGCCGGCAGGAGGTGGCGCAACCGTCTGTGACGACCCGCAGCCAAAGGTTGTCATGAGGACTCACCGCAGCGCCGTCCTCCATCATGACTGCCGTGGCCGCTGGGTCGGAGCCGGTCTTGACGTACGTCCAGAGGGTCATGCCCTATTAAAAGTCGGGGTTTGCAATTGATCGTCATCGTTTACACATATGGTTTTGTTGCCTTGTGCATGACGCACACGTGCCGACAAAGCTTGAACGCAGCCTCACAGGAAGGCATCCCTTGGTGGCAGTCAAGGGGCTGCCCGAATGGGGTGCTGGCGTTGATCGCTGCTTCCTGGGCAAGCAAAGTCCGCCGCCAGCTCCGCGCCCCTAGGTCTTACCTGCCGTGTCGCCCGCTTCTTGAGCGTAGCCACCGCTACTGCGAGCGAGTGGCTCTCGAGCGCAAATGACACGCCCAGGACTGCGCACGAGCGGCCGCAGAGCGCGGGCAGCGAGCTGTAGAGCCGTACCGGAAATGGATACACGGACAGCGCAGGGTGTTGCAACAGACAGGATGAGAGAAAATGCAGCAGCTGCCGAGTGTACCCATATTTGCAGGTGTCAATGTGTGACTACAGAAAGAGTGCTGAAGGCCTGAGTTGAGTTGCTGAAGTTCCCGCGTGCCCGCCCGCATCAGCCTTGAGCTGATTGCTTGCTCACCCACAAACGACCAGAAGAGGTTGCCCACTTCGTGGGGCGTGAACAGCCCCTGCACGCCGTGTATGAAGGACACGCCCGCGCCGCAGCAGAAGATGCCCACGGCTGATATCAGCGGCCAAACAAACTGGTCCCGCGAGTAGCCAAAGGGGTGCGCCTTGGTGGGACCCTGCGGCAGCACAGACGGTTTGCTCAGAGGCGTGACGAGGCGACCAGCACAACGCTTCTTTTCTCGGGCGGTGGCAATGAAAGCATAGGTGAACGCCGTGATGCGCAGCAGCCAGCGGCCGGGCGTGCTATCATGAGAGGCGCCGCGGCGGCGGCCGTGCTAGACGCTGCCGTTGAGGCGCCCGTGGCAGGAGTGGTGTGTGCGTGGGCGCCCACCTTTTCGGCTTTGCGGATGCCCACTCGCAGCAGGACCTGATTGGCCACATCCACCAGGCTGTGGACGGCCTCCGCCAGCATGGCGCTGCGTTTGTGCGCCGCGTGTGCATGTGCGTGTGTGCATGTGCGTGTGTGAGCGCCATTGTGTGTGATTGTGTGCTGTTTGTGCGCGTGCATGTTGTGTTGTGTGTGTATGTGTGCGTGTGTGTGTGTGTGTGTGTATGCGAAGGGTGCACAACCATGCGCGCGCTCATGCACAACGTGCACCGAGTCATCCTCCAACGATCCTGCACCTGCCTCGCAATCACAACCTCTGCATGCCGGGCCCTGCAGGTGACCGGCTGCGCGCCCTGCAGCACACCCTCAGCCTCAGGGGCGCTCCGCCGTGATTCTCCCCCTCGTCCCCGTGAGTATCGCGGCCCCGCCACCTGCTGGCGGACAGGAAATAAACCACCAGCTTGGCCACAAATATCAGCATGTTGGCCCTGATAGCTGTGTCCACCGCATGCAGCTCCGCCTTCAAATCCTCCTCCTCGTCATCAGACAGAGAGTGCAGGCCCGCCGGGGCCGGTCGCGACGACGAGGCATGCGCCCCGCCCGGCGGCGCCTGGTGTTGGCCGTCGCCGCCGCTACCAGGGGCGGCCGCCGCGGCGTACGCGGCCGCGGCGGTCGGCGGGAGGCGGTTCGCGGCTGCGGCGGCGCTGTCGCGGTGCGGCGCGAGGTGACCTCGGAACGCGAGCAGCGGCGCCGCAGCCAAGGGGCGCGGCGGCAGGGCGTGGAGCGGCAGGGCGGCACCAATTCCAGCAGGGACGCGAGCTGGGACACGCATACGCCCCAGCGGCATGGAGCTGGACGCCATGCTGCTGCTAAAACCCCCTGTGGCACCTCTAACACAATATGCCTGCCACAGCAGGCGGTCTCCTCCTCTGCAGCTGTTGCTACTTTGCGAACAAAGCCCTTGGAACGACTGCAAACGCTGCTGCAGGAGCACTGGGTCTATTAGAAGACGGCAGGCGCTTCGCCGCATTGTCGGATCGCGGCGCACGCCATGCAACGTCAGGCAGCAGCAACAGGTGAGATCACCTCGCCCTCATGAGTGACCAGAAAGAAATGATATGCTGGTATGGAAACACCCCAAAGCATCGGTGGCGCAGTGATATATGCACCGCAAGATTGTATGCTGATGAGTGACGTAGAGGAGTGACACCTGCCTGAACTTGAACAACGGTGATACGGAAGATCTTGTGAGTAAATTGTATGTTTGGCACGAATCTGCATAGCAAGCGCGCCCCGCCCTTGTCTGCTGTGTCGGCCAGCTTTGAACCGAACTTTTGCCGCCCTGAGGGATCTGGGAAAGCAGGAGAGTTAGATGGCCGGTGGCAGGTGGGACTTTCTTTTACAGATTTGAAGAACTCGGTATGGCGCTTGAGCCTTGCAGGCATCGCCGGCGCCAGCGAGTGGCGGCATGCAGCACAAGCAAGAGCAGCTGTCGCGCGTCAGCGTCTTGCATGCGCCACTGCCTGCACAGCAAGGTGCAGCAGAACTTTAGTCCGCTTCCGTTTGAGCGCGATGCTGTCTGCCGCTCCGCCCACGCCGCGCCGCACGCCCGTCCGCCCGTCCCTCCCGCTGCTCCCAGGGCACCCTCCACCACGGCGGGCGGCCATGGCGCCTGCGAGGCCGCGGAAATCCAGTGTGCCTTGCGGCTTGAGGCGGCCGTCGCACGCGCGATCGCTGTGAGTGGGCTGGGCTAGGGTTTGAGGGTCCATCGGCAGAGTGTGCCGCCATTGGCCGTGCCACCAGTGACGATTGTGCAGGCCGAGCGACGAAGGGCGTGCTCTGGAAGGCCTGCATCCATTGTCAACCACCTACTTTAGTCGATGGCCAGAGGCGGCGGCACTGGGCGCAGCAAGCAGGGTCCGGCTGCCTGTGGCGCGATGCCTGGTGAATGCCTCCCAGCCTTCCCAACACACGCATACACACATGTACGCTCGCACGAACGCACGCACGCACGCACGAGCACACGCACGCGCGCACGCATGCACGCACCCTCACACACATACACACACCACACATACACACACACCACACACACACACACACACACACCGCAGCTCCTGCGCAGGCGCCACCCCCTGGGCCAGGTGCTGGACCGCGCCGAGGGCGCGCTGTGGGACGTGCACAACGCGGCACAGGCGGGCCCCAGTGCGCTGCTGCAGCTCGCCACGCTGCGTGCGGTGCCGCCCCTCGTCAAGCATCTCGTAAGCTGCCATGGCCGCGGCCGGCGGTGGCGGGCCGAGTCGTGCGGCGCCCACCTC